ATGGTGACGAGTGGTAACCACCTCTGTAGGAAGCTTTATAAAAACGATTCAAATTTGTTAAGAAATCTCCCAGGAGTTCTTTAAACAAACCTACTGAAACTACCACATCTCTCAGAAAAAAATTGCCCAGCTTTCAGAATCACATGGATGTGATGTTCCCAAGCTGAAGTCATGGCAACAGCCACGGTCACATCACGGGGAGAGGGACTGGTTCCTTCTCCTTAGATACTGGGGCCCACGGCTTTCATCATCACCATCATCTTCTTTTTCTTTTTTCCTAATAGACAACATGCACTTATTTAAAAGAAAAATAGGTGCTTTTTTGGAGGATGGATTATTTTATCAGCCAAATCCCTTGACATGGAATGTATGTGAGTTCTCCTTCGATGGCATCTGTTGTAACTCAACCTCCTCACCTCGGAAGCATCAGGACAAAAAGGCTGGACTTCTTTGGTATCATCTCTATCTAGGATCTTGCATTGTAGCTCCCTGGCTTCCCTTACGGCATCTCTTTTTGGTCCACAGAATCCCTACTTTAGGCGCTGCCATGAGCACGGACAGCTGGCCTTCGGTGCACACTTCCGCAAGGGTAGCACTTGGCTTTGTCTCGGCACGGCACTTTGGGCCTTTGAGAACATGAGCTTCAATGAGGTAAAACTAGTAACCCGGCTTCGTGGGCAGCCATCCTGTTCACTTGTTAGGCTGGACCAGAATTTTCAATCCTTATCAACTAGTGAGGGAAGTAAAAAACATGTCAGAGTCGGCCTGGGGAGCCACATCCCTCTCTCCCTCATCTTCAAGTATGTCTGTACTTTATTCATACATCTAGAATCGTTTGGAATTACAGTGCAGTATTCCGAGTACATCCTGATTTCTGGGACTAGTCTGTATTTTTTTCAGATCACTGCCAGTATAATCTAGGGAAAAATACTGTATTTGCAGGTTACCAACAAAACCAAGTCAGGTTACTTCCCAGCATTGAAGGGTTTTTAATTCAAATTTGGGAAGTTGAGTGCAATCCTTCCAGGCCTTCCTATTTAGTAGGCCCCAAAGGTCTTTCATTTGCAATACTAGAAACTTTAAAATACAGTTTTCCTCCCAGAAATGTCATTACTATTTCTAGAGGTTTAGATCTCTTGGCTTACGAGTTTCCCATGTTAACAAACTTCTTCTGAGTCTGGAAGGAATACTGGTCCCCACTTACTCTGATGATGAAAGGCTACCCAGACTCTTAAAATCCTCACAAGCACGGTTTACTTTTAGCCCCCTGACGTCAGTGGTGTGGGTGCTGGTGCCCCCTCTACACCTCACCCAGTTCATCCCCAGAGGGCAAACTGTGAAACTAACTGCTGTTCTCTTGGCCTCCAATTCTCACTTCGTCTAGGGGTTGGTAGGCCTCATTCATGACTCACTCAAGATTCTTTTGTGGACTCCGTAGGTTCAACGGCTCTTTCTCCCATCCTGCAGTTATTCTTCATAATCAGCTTCTGAGCATCACGTCAGTGTACTTTCCCAAAGGGGCTCTCCCTCAGGCTGGCATGGGAGAAGTCTCCAAATCCTAGTCCTCTTTGCAGGACATCGGATTCTCTTCCTTCCAAGACTAGCTTGTCACTCTAACAAGGCACTCTGCTATATATACATTCAGGCTTGGTCTTGGTTCCTCCACCCATGTCCCTGTTTCTCTAGCACCGAAATGTGTCAAAGAGATTGTTCCTGCTCATGTGGCTTAAGGTAAAGTTCCAAAGGTGGCTTAATTGTTCGAACTCTTGATAAATGGAAGAATCTGTAGTATAGACTTCAACAGAAAAGAAAAAATTTCCAAATATTGAATTCAGTAACTTGACGTTACTTGAGAGAACTTAAAGTGCCATCCTAGTCATAATGCAAAACTCAAATATATATATATATATCCAGCTTTTGAAGACTCATAGGACATGAAATTTTAAAATTTGTTTAAATTTTAACACAGTTCCCCTATTCTTACATGAATAGATTTTTTCATTCCTCTTAAACCCTGTTAACATCAAGGAATAAATATTGTGAAGTGCTGTTG